TTCATCATCAATTTCCTTATCATTAACCATGGAATTATCATTTTGATGCTGATTATCATCTTTCCGCCTCGGATGAACGCCTTCTCATTTGGTCTACATGTCGTCGCATGATTCTACCGTCATCAATCTTCACATCATACATTTTACTACCCTTTCTCAGATGCACTACCCCGGGAAGCCAACTGTCCCCCTTGGCATAATTTTCTACAAATACCTCATCATTTACATTAAACTCCCTGACCTGGGAATGACGATCAGAGTAGTGCTTCTGTCGTTCCTGCTTTTGCATTACCCTATCATTTAGACTTGGGTGTACCATACTTAATGGTGAATGTAACATTCTTCCCATAAGTGCCTCGCAGGGTGGAACACCAGTGGTAGAAAGAGGGGTAATATGATACTTAAAAAGGAACCGTGACAATTTAGTATGAAGTGAACCCTCAGCCATCTTTGTCCATGTTTAACGGTTTGGATTGCTCTCTCGGCTAACCCATTAGATGATGGTTTGAAGGGGGCACTAAACAAATGCTTAATCCCATTGCGCACAGTAAACTCTTTAAACTGCGCGCTAGTATAGGTTGGTCCGTTGTCACTCACTAGATGTGTATAACACTTTAGGAATACCATGAGTGGCAAATACTCTTCTGAGCACCTCGATTGTGCACTCAGCAGTTATAGAATTCATAATCACAGCATCGATCCACTTAGTATAAGAATCGACAATAATCAATGAAAATGACTTCCCCATGTAAGGTCCCATGAAGTCTATGTGAACCCGAGACCACGGTTCTTTAGGGTACTCCCACATACTTAAAGTTGTTTCGGCAGGTTTATTCCTGTTAACCTGACATTTGGTACATGTGCTAACACATGTTTCCAAGTCTTTGTCAATACATGGCCACCATACATATTGTCTACTAATGGACTTCATTAATGTAATTCCTGGGTGACAATCATGTAACTCTTTAATGATGAGATTGCGCCCTTTGCAAGAACCACAATACGGGACCCCCACAAAATACACCCGTCATGTACACTTAACTTGTCTTTACGTCAAATATGTCTAAACTCATTTTGTGAGTCAGGATCTGGGTTGGTCCAATTACCATACAATATGCAATGTCTAACATGTGACAAAATAGGATCTTTACCAGTCCACTTTCTGATGTCATCGGAATTTACTGGAGAAGAGGCGTTGTTGATGTGCTCCATCAACAAAACCACATCACCCGGCACGGGAATATGACCCTCAGT